GTACTGTTAAGTTGAGCGCAACATACTGTAAGTACGATAACGGTACCAAATTACCACTCAGTTAAACATTATGAAATTTGTGAACTGTTAATTTGAACGCCACATACCGTAAGTACTGTAACGGTACCTAGTTACTCCTCGGTTAAACATAAGATACTTTGTGTACTGTTAAGTTGAGCACCACACACTGTAAGTACTATAACGGTACCTAGTTACTTTTCAGATAAACTTTAGATGCTGTGTGTACTGGTAAGTTGAGCGCCACATAATGTAAAGACGATAAAGGTAGCTTTTTACTCCTCAGTTAAATATTAGATACTGTGTGTACCGTTAAGTTGAGCGCCACATACTGTAAGTCCTGGAACGGTACCTAAGTAACTCCTCGGTTAAACATAAGATACTGTTTGTACTGTTAAGTTGAGCGCTGCATACTGTAAGTACTATAACAGTACCTGGCTACTCTTCAATTAAACCTGTGATACTGTGTGTACTGTTAAATTGAACGCCACACACTGTAAGTACTATAACGGTACCTAGTTACTCCTCGGTTAAAGATAAAATACTGTATGTTCTGTTAAGTTGAGCGCCACATATTTTTTAATACTATAACGGTAACTAGTTACTTCTCGGTTAAAGATTAGATACTGTGTGTACTGTTAAGTTGAGCACCACACACTGTAAGTACTATAACGGTAACTATTTACTCCTCAGTTAAACATTAGATACTGTGTGTACTTTTAAGTTGAGCGCCACCTACTGTCAGTACTGTAACGGTACATAGTTACTCCTCTGTAAAACATTTGATACTGTGTGTACTGTTTAGTTGAGCGCCACATACTGTGAGTACTGTAACTGTACCTAGTAACTCCTCGGTTAAAAATAAGATAATGTGTGTACTGTTGAATTGAATGCCACATACTGTAAGTACTGTAACGGTTCCTGGCTACTCTTCAGTTAAACATTAGATAGTGTGAGTTCTAATAAATTGAACGCCACACACTTTAAGTACTACTATAATGGTACCTAGTTATTCCTCGGTTAAACATTAGATACTGGGTGTACTGTTTACTTGAGCGCCACATACTGTAAGTACGATAACGGTACCAAGTTACCACTCAGTTAAACATTATACAATTTGTGAACTGTTTATTTGAACGCCACATACTGTAAGTACTGTAACGGTACCTAGTTACTCCTCAGTTTAACATTAGATACTGTGTGCACTGTTAAGTTGAACGCCACATACTGTAAGTACGATAACGGTAACTAGATACTTCTCGGTTAAACATAAGATACTGTGTGTTCTGTTTAGTTGAGCGCCACATATTTTTAATACCAAAACGGTACCTAGTTACTCCTCGGTTAAACATTAGAAAATGTGTGAACTGTTAATTTAAACGCCATACACTGTTAGCACTATAACGGTACCTAGTTACTTCTCAGATAAACATTATATACTGTTTGTACTGTTATGTTGAGCGCCACATACTGTAAGTACAATAACGGTAACTATTTACTCATCGGTAAAACATTAGATACTGTGTGTACTGTTATTTTGAGCGCCACATACTGTAAGTACTGTAAAGGTTCCTAGTTACTCCTCGGTTTAATATTATATACTGTGTGTACTGTTTAATTGAACACCACATACTGTAAGTACTATAACGGTACCTAGTTACTCCTCAGTTAAACATTACATACTGTGTGTACTGTTATGTTGAGCGCCACATACTGTAAGTACGATAACGGTAACTATTTACTCCTCGAATTATTCCAAAATCGACGTAAATTACAACTAAACGTATGATACACTGCGTTGGACATAAAATGTTACCACTAACTGCACAATTCATCGTGCTGGACCACTATGTAAATTAGCTAACATGACATGTATGGGCTTCCATACCTAACACAATGCATGTGGAAAATAATGAAAAATACAATGGCTAATATCTTCAAATTGGCTCAACGTTACATGTACACCACTACATGTTTATAAATGGAATGCATAACACGTGTAAACTTCGCTACGCATGAGTGGTCCGCCACTGAGTTGTTGACACTAGACCGGTTTTCATCAGGTTAATGTGTATAAAAACAGCAGATAAACTACAGATAAGATAGATAATAAGGGTTGCAAACACTTACCACAGTCAGCTATCTGTGCTTTTATTCCATTACGGTATATTCTTATATAGTCTCTCCGTATTCATCACGGGTGCGTTTCATTGTCCCCATGTTATGGTCTCCTCTCGCTAACCCACTTACCCGGTCGTGACGTCCCTGAGGTAGCACTCCACTAAATATCACAGGTACATAGGACAACACATACAAGCATACACCACAATACTTACAAAGTCCGTAACTATGTATATGCGTGCGTGACACATCCCCCCGCTTCGGATGAAATAGTTCACGATTTCACAACAATTCACGTCGCATAACATAATAAATTATACATAACATACATCTGGATCTTCTGAACTCGTCGTCGATCTTCACGAACTAAAGACAGCAACACCCCAGCCCTATATCCAATATAGGTGGTTACACCCGACTGAGATAATCCGCTCCAACGTTGTCACAACCCTTGATAGCCCGCAAACGAAACCGGTAAGGCTGCAACAACAGGGCCCATCTCATCAGCCTTCCGTTAGCTGTCCTCGTTCGGTTCAGATACGTCAACGGTTGATGATCGGTTTCCAGCACAAATTCGCGTCCATACAGGTACGGTTCAAACTTCTGTATGCCCCACACAATAGCAAGACACTCCCGCTCAATTATAGCATAATTCCTCTCGCGCGGAAGAAGCTGCCTACTAGCATAGGCTATAGGCATCGACTTGCCATCTTCATCCTGTAGTAGCACTGCTCCAATGCCGGTATCGGATGCGTCAGTCCTTAGAATGAAGTCTTGTGTCAGATCCGGTAGCTTCAGTAATGGACTGCTCGTCAACATTGTCTTCAAAGTCGCAAAAGCTTGTTCTTGACTGGCGTCCCACACTACCTTATTGGCAAGTCCTTTCTTGGTCAGATCGCTCAGCGGGATGGCTATGGCAGAGAAATTCGGTATGAACCTCCGATAGAAACTTGCTAACCCAAGAAAAGACCGCACCTGTTTCTTTGTTTCTGGTCGCGATGCTTCCTGTATAGCCTTGACCTTTTCCTGCTCTAGTCGAAGTCGTTGGTCACCCACGACGTATCCCAGACACGGTAAGGTCCGGAATCCGATCGAACACTTTGTCGGTCGCGCTGTCAATCCAGCCTTTGTCAGGCGCTTGAACAACTCTTTTAACACTTCCAGATGTTGCTCTCAGGTCTCCGTGAAAATCAAAATGTCGTCAATGAAATTATCGAGGCACTCCATTCCAGCTAGTAACTTCCGCATCAACCGGCTGAAGGTCGCTGGAGCATTCACCAAGCCGAATGGCATGACCCGAAACTGAAAAAGTCCTTGAGGGGTGCTGAACGCTGTCATCTGTTTGGCAGGAGCCGCCATAGGCACCTGCCAATATCCCTTAGATATATCCAATTTTGAAAAATATCGCGCTCCTGCGAGACGGCCAAATATGTTGTTCGTGTCGGGCATTGGTTCGGCATCGAACACTGTAACACGATTAAGATTCCGGAAATCGATACAAAATCGGTTAGTGCCATCCTTTTTCTTCACCATGACGACAGGCGCTGAATAAGGTGATTCCGACGGTTCAATTATATCCATGTCGATCATCTTTCTGACCTCCTCCATAATCACATCCTTTGTGTTGTATGGCAGTGGATAGGGTTTAATACGAACAGGATCCGTGGTAGTAGTATGGATGTCGTGCTCTGCCAAGTTGGTGTGTCCAGGTACATCAGTAAGTACATCCTTGTACGACGACAGTAGGTTCTGTACTTCTTCCCTCTGATCCGTGGTCAGTTCCGTGGCTATGGCGACATCCTCTACGGTTTCCTTTCCTATCGTGGCGGGAAGTGTCTCCAAAGTGTTTTCGTACCCTTCGTCCTGGTCTTCGTGCAACACTGCTGTTGCCAGACATCCAAGAATACCAGTGACTCTAGCCCCCGTGCTTGGCGGTTCCACATACTTCTTCAACAGATTTACATGGAGAGTCTTAATCTTGCCGTCTCTATCCACTCTATAGTCAGATGGTCCCATTTTTCCCAAAACAGCATATGGTCCTCGCCACTGCATCAACAGTTTGTTAGCCTTGGTTGGCAACAACACCAACACTCCTGCTTGGAGGTGTCTGACTTTGGCCTTCCTATTGAAGTACTTCTTCTGTTTTCCTTTGGCTTTCTCCAGGTGTTTCATGGCCATATCGCACGTCTCCTCCAGTTTCTCCCTTAAATCCATAACGTATTGGTACGTTGATTTGACCTCCTCATCCTGTACCTCCTTGGTCCACAATTCCTTCAGAATCATCATTGGCCCACGGACTGATCTGCCGTACAGTAACTCAAAGGGTGAGAAACCCAAGCTCTCCTGAGGAACTTCACGGTAGGCGAACAGCAGTGCATTTATAAACTTGTCCCAGTCTTTAGGCCTTTCCGCGCTCATCCTTCGTAGCATCTGCTTGAGTGTTCCGTTAAACCTCTCAACCAGCCCATTACACATGGGGTGGTAGGGTGTCGTCGTCAACTGTCTCATCGAAAGCAATCGGCTTACTTCGTGCATCACCTCTGACGTAAACTGTGCACCCTGATCGGTTAGCATCTCAGCAGGAACGCCCACTCTACTAAAGATGTCCACCAGTGCTTCAGCCACTCTTTCTGCCTCTATGCCACGTAGTGGGACTGCCTCCGGGTATCGTGTCGCGTAGTCCACTACAGTAAGTATGTACCTGTTTCCCCTGTCTGTCGCTGGTTGTATAGGTCCAATCAGGTCTACAGCAATCCTCTTGAATGGCGTATCTATCAATGGCATTGTCCCAAGCGGCGCCATGGGGACTCTTCCCTTTGGTACGGTTCGCTGGCAAATGTCACAGGACCTGCAATGCCTAGTCACGTCTGNGATCTGCCGTACAGTAACTCAAAGGGTGAGAAACCCAAGCTCTCCTGAGGAACTTCACGGTAGGCGAACAGCAGTGCATTTATAAACTTGTCCCAGTCTTTAGGCCTTTCCGCGCTCATCCTTCGTAGCATCTGCTTGAGTGTTCCGTTAAACCTCTCAACCAGCCCATTACACATGGGGTGGTAGGGTGTCGTCGTCAACTGTCTCATCGAAAGCAATCGGCTTACTTCGTGCATCACCTCTGACGTAAACTGTGCACCCTGATCGGTTAGCATCTCAGCAGGAACGCCCACTCTACTAAAGATGTCCACCAGTGCTTCAGCCACTCTTTCTGCCTCTATGCCACGTAGTGGGACTGCCTCCGGGTATCGTGTCGCGTAGTCCACTACAGTAAGTATGTACCTGTTTCCCCTGTCTGTCGCTGGTTGTATAGGTCCAATCAGGTCTACAGCAATCCTCTTGAATGGCGTATCTATCAATGGCATTGTCCCAAGCGGCGCCATGGGGACTCTTCCCTTTGGTACGGTTCGCTGGCAAATGTCACAGGACCTGCAATGCCTAGTCACGTCTGCCTGTACACCTGGCCAGAAGAACTCAGACAACACACGCGTCGCTGTCCGCTTGGCTCCTAAATGTCCTGACATTATAGATGAATGCGCCAGTTCCATCACTGCTTGCCGAAATTTCCCAGGAATTATCAACTGACGAAACTCCTTTACATTTGCCACCTTCGGACTCTGGAATTTCCGGTACAGCAGACCTTTATGGTATACTATCTCTGACGTTCCTCCATCTGGTCTTGTCTGATGGTCACCTTTCTTGGCCAGGTCTCTAAATCTTGACAATGTCGGGTCAACTTGCTGTTCCTCTTTGATCTCGTCCAAGTTCCCTATGTCTGAGCCTTCCTTTACCTTCAACGGCCTGTATCCTAACTGTTCCCTTTTCTTCTGGGCTCTTGTTTCTACAGCCTGTACAACGTTATATTCTCTCCGCCATTCACTGTCCGGTTGATCCGGGGGTCTAGCACCATCCACATTACCAATTATGAGATCGTAGAGTGGCGCCTCGAGTACCCATGCATCGACAGTTCCACGGAAATAAGGCGTATCTACGTCCAGCTCAGCAACTGGGACTTGAATCCTCGTCGCATCAGCTAACGAGCACACCTGCTGCCGATTAGATATCTTCCCTGGGTCCACAAAGCTCCTCCGCACAACCACGCCACTACAACCACTGTCCCTTAGCACAGTCACAAACTGGTCACCAACACATCCTCTAGCTATCGGCATGCCCTTGGCTCCAGACCTCTTTATGTTGCAGTTCTCACTAAGCGTTGGAGGTCCTTCGCCTACCACACACGACGATGAGTCACCTTCTCCCCTATTGCCATGCTTACCTCCCCTGGTGCCTCGACCTCTCGCAGCTCCTCTACCCCGTCCTCTTGCTGACGCCTGCCTATTCGTACTATACACATGAGTGTCTGCCTCACCAACAACAGCTGCCACACCGGACGACTTCTTATTCCGGCATTCAAATGACATGTGTCCCGGGTTACCGCACGAATAACACCTTTTCGCCCTCGGTGAGTCATGCTTGTTCGTCCCGTTGTTGGTCCCGTTGTTGGCACTGGCTTGATGTCTGGCTTGTTCAGGCTTGGATGATTTGGTTGTCATTAAATTGCTCTTTGATCCGCGCGCGTCCGCGTATTGGTCGGCCAATCTTGCCATTTCTGCCATGGAAGCAGGAATTCTTCCCTTTAAGAACAACGCTAAGTCACGCCCACAGCAGTCTATAAACTCATCTCTGGTGATCAAATCCTTTACGCCTTCATACGTCTTGTCAGTCTTTGTCATTTCAACCCATCGCTCAAAATAGCTGACTAGTCTTAAGGGGAATTGTCCAAATGACTCACCACTTTCCGGTCTGGATGAACGGAATGCTTTCCGGAATCCTTCCTCCGTCTTCTCAATGCGTTTAAGAAGTGCCTTCTTCAATTCATCGAATACCAGCGCCTGTTCAACCGGAAGGCGAGAAAATACATCTAGAGCCTTGCCCTTCAGTAAGGCACTAAGATTGGCGCCCCAGATATCCCGGTCGCATTTCTGTGCTGTAGCATAACGCTCAAAGCGTTGGAGATACGAGTCCATATTGTCCTTGGTGTCCTCAAATGGGGGAAGTTTAGGACCCCTTAAAACAACTCGGTCCGGTGCAGCTCTGCCCGGCGTCTGTTGTTGCAACTCCAATTGCATTCTGCGATCTTCCACGGCCCTCTGTAGACTTCTTTCCTCTTTCTCCCGTTCCAATCTAGCTTGTTCTAACAATAGCTCCTTCCGAGACTGTTCCCTTTCCTTTTCCAATCTGGCTTGTTCTAGCAATAGCTCCTTCCGAGACTGTTCCCTCTCCTTTTCCAATCTGGCTTGTTCTAACAATAGCTCCTTCTGATGCTGTCGTTCTTTCTCCTTCTCTTCCATCTCACTGGCTCTATCCCTCCGCTCTAGTTCTCGTTCTTCTCTGGCCTTTGCCTGCACTTCTGTGACAAATGTCCGCAGAGCTTGCCCTTCCAAGCCCATCTTCTCTCCTAACGACGTAAGCTCTTGTATCGCCGACATAACTACGGCTACTAATACAACAGTAATATACAAAGAACAATGTATATATGCTACAATACAATAACACAAACAAAGACACTTACCCCTCTTCTTTGGTGTAAGATCCCGTCTTGGAATGATGACACTATGCTGTGCTTACCTACCCCTGTTGGCTTAGATACAAGGTCATTGGCTTGCTGTAAAAAGAAAGGGGCTGTCAATCCCTAACTAGCTAACCTGAGGAATACCTTTCCAGCATCAGCAGTTAAACAATGCATATTATGCTATCAATTCCCGAGCAGACTTGCACCGGTCATCCCACCGCTGCCACCAAATGTTAAGTACGGAACGAACGGAATAGCCTTACTCGGGAATGTCAACACAACAATACACAGTTTAACACAAATATATATACAACTTTATTTACATTCGATAATTAAATGATACAAAACGATTTAATATCTTGCCCACACACACACACACACTTACACATACACTAATACTGGGAATACCCTAAAATGTTCTGTCACTTCCTCGCTGTGTTCCTCTGAGTTAAAATGTCCATACAATCTCAGCCATGAACGCGTATGTGTTCCGTCCTTGTCGTGTTCCTCCGAATACTCCGAATCAGCTATGAACCACGCTCAATACTATCCCGCAGGATAGTGTCCATAAATGTACCACGTGTTGATACACCAAGCCCTATTATAGGCTGTCGTAGTGGGCCTGCTTCGTGAAACTAAAAGCAGCCCATTTCCTGTTGAGGAAACCGCTTGACCTCTGAATTTGATGGTCCAAGTACCGCCGCTGTGTCGTACATGTATCTGGTCCTGGAATGACCAGATCTGGTTCATGTGTCGGCCGGTCTGTCTATGGGTCCACCATATAGCCCCAAGGTAAAAGCTAAGGTAAGATAAAAGAGGAATACTGTGACAGCAACACCATTAAATCCCAAAAGTTCGTGTAATTTGACTAAGATAACGAAAACATCCGTTTGCACTCATGGGCTTCCATACTTCCACAAATTTGACAAACTGAGTTTTCTATTCCAAAATCGACGTAAATTACAACTAAATGTATTATACAATGCGTTGGACATAAAATGTTACCAATAACTGCACAATTCATCGTGCTGGACCACTATGTAAATTAGCTAACATGACATGTATGGGCTTCCATACCTAACACAATGCATGTGGAAAATAATGAAAAATACAATGGCTAATATCTTCAAATTGGCTCAACGTTACATGTTCACCACTATCTGAGGTGCATACAACAAATACATGACAATTTAGTACGCGTACATGTTTATAAATGGAATGCATAACACGTGTAAACTTCGCTACGCATGAGTGGTCCGCCACTGAGTTGTTGACACTAGACCGGTTTTCATCAGGTTAATGTGTATAAAAACAGCAGATAAACTACAGATAAGATAGATAATAAGGGTTGCAAACACTTGATATTCTTATATAGTCTCTCCGTATTCATCACGGGTGCGTTTCATTGTCCCCATGTTATGGTCTCCTCTCGCTAACCCACTTACCCGGTCGTGACGTCCCTGAGGTAGCACTCCACTAAATATCACAGGTACATAGGACAACACATACAAGCATACACCACAATACTTACAAAGTCCGTAACTATGTATATGCGTGCGTGACAGTTAGTACTGTTAAGTTGAGCGCCACATACTGTAAGTACTGTAACGGTACCTAGTAACTCCTCAGTTAAACATTAGATACTGTGTGTACTGTTAAGTTGAGCGCCACATACTGTAAGTATGATAACGGTACCTAGTTACTCCTCGGTTAAACATTAGATAATGTGTGAACTGTTAATTTGAACGCAACATACTGTAGTTACTGTAACGGTTCCTAGTTACTCCTCGGTTTAACATTAGATACTGTCTGTACTGTTAAGTTGAGCGTCACATACTGTAAGTACTATAACGGTACCTGGTAACTCCTCGGTTAAACATTAGATACTGTGTGTACTGTTAAATTGAACGCCACATAATATAAGTACGATAACGGTAACTAGTTACTCCTCGGTTAAGCATAAGATACTTTGTGTTCTATTAAGTTGAGCGCCACATATTTTTAATACTATAACGGTAACTAATTACTCCTCGGTTAAAGATAAAATACTGTGTCTACTGTTAAGTTGAGCGCCACATACTGTAAGTACTGTAACGGTACCTAGTATCTCCTCGGTTAAACATTACATACTGTGTGTACTGTTAATTTGAGCGCAACATACTGTAAGTACTAAAACGGTACCTGGCTATTCTTCAGTTAAACATTAGATACTGTGTGTACTGTTAAGTTGAGCGCCACATACTGTAAGTACTGTAACGGTACCTAGTAACTCCTCGGTTTAACAATACATACTGTGTGTACTGTTAATTTGAGCGCAACATACTGTAAGTACTAAAACGGTACCTGGCTATTCTTCAGTTAAACATTAGATACTGTGTGTACTGTTAAGTTGAGCGCAACATACTGTAAGTACAATAACGGTACCAAGTTACCCGTCAGTTAAACATTAGATTATGTGTGAACTGTTAATTTGAACGCCACATACTGTAAGTACTGTAACGGTTTCTAGTTACTCCTCGGTTTAAAATTAGATACTGTATGTACTGTTAAATTGAACGCCACATACTGTAAGTACTATAACGGTACCTAGTTACTCCTCGGTTAAACATTAGATACTGTATGTACTGTTAAGTTGAGTGCCACACACTGTAAGTACTATAACGGTAGCTAGTTACTCCTCAGATAAACATTAGATACTGTGTGTACTGTTAAGTTGAGCGCCACATATTTTTAATACTATAACGGTAACTAGTGACTTATCGGTTAAATATAAGATACTGCTTGTACTGTTAAGTTGAGCGCCACATATTTTTAATACTATAACGGTGACTAGTTACTCCTCGGTTAAACATTAGATATTGTGTGTACTGTTAAGTTGAACGCAACACACTGTAAGTACTATAACGGTACCTAGTTACTCCTCAGATAAATATTAGATATTATTACCTGACTCGCTTTATAAATGCATATTAATCAATTTCGACTGTTTCTCAGACAATTCACGTTAAGTTGTATATTAATTTGGTGCTACCGTAAAACTGTTGACTGGTCACCGTAAAACTGTTGACTGGTCACGTGAAACTGTTGACTGGTCACGTGCAACTGTTGCCTGGTCACATGTTAGGTAATCGAACGCACCTATAATTACAAGCACCCCGATGATCAAGCGTTTTTGGTACTGGATTGTTGACGGTCGTCTGTCGGTAGACCTAAACATCACATTCGACATAGAACTTTTTGGTTTTTCATTGTTAAGTAACAAAACAGTTGTTTCATGCCTTATCAGTCAACAGTCAACACCATTTTCCCTCGGAGTTGGGACCCACCAAATGAACTGTTTCCCTCGGCCTGCGGCCTCGGGAAACAGTTAAACTGGAGGGTCCCAACTCCTCGGGAAAATAGTTTTGACTGTTGACTGATAAGGCATGACACAACTGTATACTGTGTGTACTGTTAAGTTGAGCGCCACATATTTTTTTATACTATAATAGTAACTAGTTACTTATTGGTTAAATATAAGATACTGTGTGTACTGTTAAGTTGAGCGCCACATAATGTAAGTACGATAACGGTAACTAGTTACTCCTCGGTTAAACATAAGATACTGTGTGTACTGTTAAGTTGAGCGCAACATACTGTAAGTACTAAAACGGTACCTGGCTATTCTTCAGTTAAATATTAAATACTGTGTGTACTGTTAAGTTGGACACCACATATTGTAAGTACTATAACGGTACCTAGTTACTCCTCAGTTAAACATTAGATACTATGTGTGCTGTTAAGTTGAGCGCCACACACTGTAAGTACTGTAACGGTTCCTAGTTACTCCTCGGTTTAACATTAGATACTGTGTGTACTGTTAAATTGAACGCCACATACTGTAAGTTCTATAACGGTACCTAGTTACTCCTGAGTTAAACATTAGATAATGTGTGAACTGTTAATTTGAACGCCACATACTGTAAGTACTGTAACGGTTCCTAGTTACTCCTCGGTTTAACATTAGATACTGTGTGTACTGTTAAATTGAACGCCACATACTGTAAGTACGATAACGGTACCTAGTTACTTCTCGGTTTAACATTAGGTACTGTGTGTACTGTTAAGTTGAGCGCCACATACTGTAAGTACTATAACGGTGTACACTATATGATGCCCATGCAGATACTGAAAAAGTAGAACACCACCTCATATAGAATCTGAAATGTTGAATACCCTATACTGTAAATGTGGTAGAGATGAACACTATAAAATGTAGGTACTGTGCAGTTAAACGGTATATCAGTATGAACATTGTTTAATTTTCTCCCAACCAATCAAAAAGCTTGAAATTCACTTGAGGTGTAACAACATACTTTGTAGGTATTGTAAAATTGAACGTTATATACGGTAAGTACAGTAGGGCTATACACCATAAACTGTACGTACTGTAAGGATGAAATGTATATACAGTAAGTACAGTGGAATTGAACACCATGCAGTGTAGGTACTGTACCGTTGAACGTCACATAAAGTAAGTACGGTAGAGATGAACATCATACATGGTAGGTACTGTAAAATTGAACATCACATACAGTAGATACGGTAGAGATGAACACAATACACCGTAGGTACTATAAAGTTGAACGGTATATACAGTATTTACAGTAGAGATGAACACCATACAATGAAGGTACTGTATAGTTGAACGTTGTTTACAGTAAGTACGGAGCACGGTAGAGATGAACACCATACAATGAGGGTACTGTAAAGATGAACGGTATGTACAGTATTTACAGTAGAGATGAACACCATACAATGAAGGTACTGTAAATTGAACGGTATATACAGTAAGTGCATACTTTAGATACACCTTACACTGTATGTACTGTAAAGGTGAACGGCATATACGGTAAGTAAGGTAAAGGTGGACACCAT